GTAGCAGATAGGTGATTTGCCCTGTGAATTGGTGCGATGTTGTAGATTTGGTTGTTGGTGGTGGTGTTTTGAACGGCTTGGCTTTCCTTGGAACAACTGCATTGTGTGTGGTAATAAGAGATCTTACAGCAGTCATCACCGGAGGGTGGCCGTTCATAGCAAATTAACTTTTCTTGTAAGACCTCAAAGGTCGTTAAAGCCAGAATGACTTCAAGTGGAATGTATCTTAAAAAGTATCTCCTTGATGTATTTGTCCAGATAGATGTAAATCTTTTAAAACTCTCCTTTCTCCTTGACTACTCCTCTAAATCATCTAGTTCAGACCAGCACTGCATTGATCTCTCAGATGAGTGTTTTATATAACATGCTGAAATCATAAAACTGTTTTCTTTTTCACTGCTTCAGCTAATTGAGGATGTAATTCATATGAAATTAAAACCTTTTACACATTTATTTTACACTTGCAAATATTTCATCTTCCCAAGGAAAAGAGAGTGGTTTATGCGCATGGGTATAGAATTTGCTTTCCAGAAAGTGAACTTCAGCAGTGACTTTTCTTCTCACAGTTTCTCAGCTTGTAATTGTAGCTGCTGGCAAAACTAAAGGAGAAAGACAGGATTGGGTTTATGCGTAAGTCGTGTTGGTAAATACCAGTGTCAACATCCATTTAAACAGCGATTTCTTTTCTCAGGCATCAGGGGGCTGCATCAATCCACTTGCACTTCCCAGTCATACAAATTTAGGGATTCTGTTGTTTAAGGGCTCCTCCCACAATCACACTAGTCTGTTCTCTCTTGTTCCACCATCACTCTAAAAGTGATCCTTCTCACACCAGAAACCAAAAGCCGCGTGACAGTGTGTCTCAATGCGAGCTAGGGTCCTTTCTCTTTAGTATAGCTTCAGGCCATGGGAGAAGGAGAATGACACCTTTCATCTTCAACAGCAAAAGGTAACAGCTAAAATCTCCCCTATGAGCACAGCTTTTGTAGCAGAGATGTGGGGAACAGCTTCCTGAAGATTGGCACCTGTCAGAAGCTGAGTTACTGGAGCTACATGGTTTTGGGCAGCTACCTGTGGAACAAGTTACTTGTTATCTGAAAAGGGAAAGAAAGGAGGAAAGAGAGCAAATATTGGACAAGGGAGATGAAGTTTCTAGGGGTGGAAAATATTCAGTGTCAGCTAGGTAAAAAAGAGGCAAAATAATGTTCTTTTTTTTTAAAGTAGTAGTGCTTTTTCATCTCGTGTTGTATTAGTTCTGACTTCCACTGTGGGTGTTTGTGAATTTGTTAAATTGTCAGGAAGAAATTAGAAGACGTACCCTCGAACGCCTAGAAGAATTGACCATAGAAAACAGCAGTCTTCGGGTCAGAGTGCAGAATTTTCCGGGAGTGATTATGGCAGAGATGACAGGTAGTACTTACTTAACCAGCTCTGAAAATAGAAGAGAACTGAATTTGATAGGTATTTAAACAAGTTGAAGTGTTCTATAAAATAAATCTTGCTAGTAAATGTGAATCACTTTCAATAACCTATTAATGAAAGAAGATGGGTATTCACTGACGTGTGATACCATAAGGGAATATTCTCTCTCATAGAATAATATAAATGAGAGGTATCCTCACTAAGACCGTGCACAAGCACTACAGGAATGACTGGAGAACTGCAGCGTTGAGTCCCGATCCCAGCTATGCCACAACCTTTCTGCGACGCTTGAAATGGAGCGCTTGAGAAGAGAAAGGCACTTTTTGGCCTGATGGCATCTCACCCTAGAGTAGATGTTTAAAATAAGGCAGAGGAATCATGAGCTTAAAGTGTCTCTTTCTCTCCACTGGCTATGAGGGGAGGCTAAAGGGTTAGCTCAAATGTAGGTATCTGAATGAAACCAAGCTTTGAGCTCTATGGAGAAAAATTCTTTTTTTCTCATATAAGGTTTTGTTTTAAGGTGACCTAGGCATATTCTGCTGCCTTCTTTCAACTTCACAGGTGACCACGTAGCCCCAAAGCAAAGTGATCAGGGAGCTGTTCTAGATGAGCGACACTAGGATTTCTTCTTTTCAAGAGGAGCAAGAAAGTTGGTTTTGTTTATCTGGATAACCATGCGGTTGCATAATTTTTAGTGGTGGCACAGGGGAAGGGATGGGAACATGGGGCAGAGTGGATGGGGGGAACTGGTCTGCTCCTTTCGGGGTACTACAGAGTCAGATCAGCTCTAGGATCATCTTGAAGCCTGAGTTTCTTGGGTTTTTCCACCTATAGTCTGTGTTTGTTGATCACTTTTTTTTGCAGCAAGTTTCCTCCCTCACCTTCTCTCTGCCTATACCATCTGGTTGCTACGCAGTTAGTGGGTTGTTTATACTAGCTGCTGCCGTTCTGCACTGTCTGGGTGTTTCTGTGTGGGTGGCTGTACACTGGTATGAGTGTTAGCTCAGAAGCTGAAGAGATGCTGTAGCGCAATGCCCCTGCACAGACGAGCTTCAGCCACAGTGCCCCTTCGTGCAGTTTCTTCGGTTTCATGCAGCGGTGGCTCTTCAGGGAGAAATGCTATTGAATTTCAAGCAAGTTGATGTTGTTCTATCTCCCTGGCTGCCAGAGCTGCCTGGGCAGAGGGTTTTTTTCAGGAAAAGGAGTAGTGTCTATGTGTGTAAGGAATTTCCTGGATGAAAAAGAGATTCTTCAGTGAGAGTGTTGCAGGCTTCTCCTTAGCGGCAAGTGCAGATAACTCGGGAAAAATGTCATAAGACTAAACTGTTAAAATAATTTGCGTAATTTGGGAAATGTCATTTAGATAGTCCCTTAGAGCCGCAGCTATCCCTTACCGGGTGACACTGTCTTTAGTAGTGAAGTAAAGATTACAGATCACTCCCTTTATGCATAATTTCATAGATGGCCTTTTTATAGCTAAGAGGCCTCTGCATGTTTTGCATTTGTTTCTTTAGCTCTTGTTACTGCTGCACGTGAATCTAGTGCTGCTCAGATAGACCAGTTGCAGTCTGCCCTGAAAAACCTTGCTCGTGAAATTGAGCTCCTGGATGAGAAGCAAGCCCTTTGTGAAAAACAGAATGCTGCACTGTGGTATGTATTCATTTGAATAAGGAAAACCATACTGGCAAGATGATTAGGGAGAAAAGAGATGTTATCAAAACATGGTGAATAGTGCATGTGCCGCAACCGTGCTCCTAGCTGTAATGTTCCTAGGCAACGCTTTGCTGCAGCAGCAAGCCCAGTTTTTAAGATCTTGTTTCCTGAGCAGCAGAGACTGCCTGCTGCTGCCGGCCCCCTGTGGCATAGATAAGCTAGTTTACAGAAAACTGGCTGCAGATTTGCTTCTCGCACCGGCAGGGACAATCTTCTCTTTCAACAGTTAATGTTAAGGAACAACTACAAAGACCATGGTTTCCAGTAGGGGGGGGAAAAAAAAACACACATGCACACAAAACCACTTTGAAAGAAGGTCTGACTCAGGGAGTCCTTGTCAGTAATTGAGATAGAGATCCATCTTCCTATTCAAGGAGTTATCCCAAGAGAATACAGAGACTTGGGAGATATTTGTTTTCTCCCTGCTAGATTTCATGTTACTGTCACCTCCTGCCATGCTGCTAGAGCTGTTCAAAAATAAATTGCAATGCATTTCCTTGGGGGGAGGCTGCTTTCTGCATTCTTTCGGTGGTTGAAAGCAATTCTTCCATGTTTAATGAAACTTGCAGAAAATTATCATACCAAAAGAGGTAAAGCTTAGAAAATGTTATGATCTAAAAAAAACATGAAAGCTCTTCCACTGGAATGCAAGGTCTTAGATGACCTTAATCACAGGTACTGGTGCATATTGTGCTTAAAGTACTTAAAGTATGTATAGTGCTAGAGTAGACTGAGTTGTTAACTCAGTCTATGTATGGATAGGCAAGTATTCATTTCAGTGAGCATTTGAACCAAGTCTTTGATCTAAATGAACAGTAGGAAATCTCATTTGCTTCTGTTTTTTTTTTTCTTCTCCAGTGAGAAGCAAGAACGCTTGCGGGTGCCGTATGAAGGAAGTGTAGACTTGCTGAATGAAAAGATGGAAAGGAAAGTTAACACAAATGTACTTTTAAATGATACTTGTGCTAAGACAAGAGATACAGAAAGAGAAGTAATCAGGGCAAAGGCAGCATTAAAAGAATTGAAAGAAAAAATAGCAGAAAAAATGCATAAATTTGGGAAAGAAAAAGAAGACTGTGATAGAAAGGTAGAGCTTTTGAAATGTACTTCGCAGTTAGCTTTTGAAATGTACTTTGCAGTTGAACAGATATTTATATAGCACCAAAAAAGGAAACAACTTTTGAAATTACACTGAATGTTATGTTTAGCTTTCTCATATGGAGCTAACTTTTGCCTCCATAGCAGTAAAACAGAAAAGTGACCTTTTTGCCATTGGGTGCGCAGATGCGCAAACTTTTTTGACTTCTGTATGCATATGTTCAGGTGATAGGAATGGTGTGTATATATATATATTATATATGAGTGTGTGTGTATATATATATATACACCTATGCAAACCCATACACACACATCAAAATTTTGTGGTACATGAAATTTATTTTCTAGTAGCACATCTCAGAATGTCATTTGGAAGTATTTGTGCTTCCTACTGGCTGTGGGACAAATCATACATCATATGCTGGGATTTCAAGCCCTCCAGACATACTGCTTAAAATAAAAACACCTATATTTTCCAGCAAGCTCTGAGATTAGATTTTAATGTATTTTATATTCTGCCCTACTTTCAGTTGTATATATTCGATATCCTTTCTTAAAGATAACATAAAAATAGATTAATAGATTAAAGGAAAACTTCCAATGTACTTTTGTACAATGTACTCTATCCAATGTAGAATGTACTTTTCTGCAGAACAGAATTGTAACTCTCTTCTCAGTATGGTATAATCACGTCTCTATACGGGAATAAAATCATATGAAATTTTGCCTAATCAGATCCTAAGTTGCATATTATGTTAATCAAGTTTTGTTTTGTATTCATATAAAATTTGTTCAGTTGGTACATAGCTGTGGCTTTTGCAGAAAATTATTTTTTTCCTGTATAAATTTTGTCCTCATCTAATTTTAGAAGGCTCCAGAAACTGCTGTGTTTGAATATACATTTTTAAACTACACAGTACATTGCTCAGGATGAATAATTGTATTATTTGCAATGTAGGAGAGAGAAATGAAAAAAATCCTTGATACTCAGAAGGCAAAAACTTCAGAGAAAAAGGATGAATTTGAAACCTTGAATATAAAATTACTGGACATAGAGCATTTAATAACTCTGAACTCAACAGTAAGTTATTAGCAAAATAGTTCTTATTTCAATGTTATTGCAGAGATCAAAATTTAATTTCATAATTGATCAAAGTGAGGGGAATTTAGAGAGAAGTGGGGACTCAAACTTTTAAGGAAAAAAAACATATATAGTGAGTAATAGACTAGCACTATTGAGTTAATTACTTGATTATAAGTCACTGTCCAAAGTAGAGGGTCTCTGTAGAGTATTTTACCAGCCTAGTGAAATTACTGATCACTCTGTGCTGGTGAATTCATTCATAAAGATATGCTTATAGAGAACACACAAAAAAAGTCAATGAGAAGATGACTTGGACCTCAGTCCTGCACATGGCTCTGGTGGAGCTATTTAGCGTTCCAGCTGAAAATATGAAATGACAATCAACAGATATTTGGTGGATACAAACATGGAAAAGAAAGACATTCATAGTATTTTCAGGGTGATATAAGGAGGAGGAATAGGAAGAAATTTAGGAAAGAGAAGATTTTTGCTCAAATATTATGGCAGAATTTGTATTGAAGAGTGCTGTAGAAACTGAAATAAGTAGGGAGCTTGTGGAAACTTTGTTACGTTCAGCTTTCTACGAATGCACTCTCCAGTGTAAATCAGTCTACGCTGGTGGACGTGACAATTTTTAGGAAGCTCAATATCTGGAAAGTCAAAGCTAGCAGGGCTAAAATACAGCCAGGCTTTCTCTGTCTGCTACCTACTCAATATTGGCTACCGCTTCAACTCTGCCTACTCCAGAAGGATTTTTCCCTTTTTTCAGGGATAACTTCTCTGAGAAAAGTAAGGAAAGGTCAGTGTCTTCATCTTTCCTTCTACAATTTCCTGCAAAGTTAACTCAAGCTATGTGCATTCAATTTAAAAGCTGCCGAGTAACCTCAGCACTACTGAAAGCAAACATACTGCAAAACTAACACTTATGTTGAGCCAAATTGAGATGCGAAAGATTATTTTCTGCCCTGAGCTTGCTAGCTTCTGTTAGAAGCACTGCTGCCTTTCAAGTAAAAGTCCTTTCTATCTGAATGAGTATCAGGTTAGTAAAAACTCCCGAGCTGTACCTGAGTCAACTCTGCAGTGAAGAAAAGGCCCTAAAGGACAGAGTTGTTAAGTCACGTTTTTAAAATTTCTTTTCATTGCCACCTTGAATTGATTTTTTTAAAACCCTTTCAGTGATTAAATACAAGAAAATCAGCCTTGACCACTATTTCCTCAACATTCTTTCTTTGCAAACTTTCAGTAATTTTGACTGTGAAATCTCTGAGTGGTTAAAAAATAGTACAGGAGAATCTCATGCAGATGTTATGCAATCTTTAAAAAAGTAAAAAGACTACTTGCAGTAAAGGGATTATTTCTCTGCTCTTTTGGAAATTCCATACATTATGACAGTCTGTTTTATTTTTAATAGGCCATATTTAACGAAGAGGCTCTCGTAGCAAAACAGAAAGAAGCAAGTAAGCAGTTGGAAGAAACCCTGGAATTAAAAAAAACGAACATGCTGGCACTCTTAAAAAAGAAGTAAGAGTTATCAGATTCTTTGATTCTTTTTTGCTAAAGCTGCCTCAGTATATTCTGGGGAAGTTTACACCAATATTTATGAAGAACCAGTCAAATTCTGCAAAGTATAGGAACTATTTAATGCTGGAAGAGAACCACCAGGTCCAAGTTGTCCCCTTATAAATGGGAGCCTTTCTATTTGCTTCAGTGGCTATACAGTAAAATCTTGGAGGATAGCTGAGGCCAATCTGAATTTGCTATTTGGGAAGAAATATTCATAAACAGTGCATTTTTGACCAGAGTCATACTCAGTTATTCTAACAGCATATGGTGGGAAAGTCAGCCTTTCCTCCCTACACCCACTGTCATCTTTCTGTCAGCTGGAAAGCCTTTTGTTTCTATGGCATGAAGACGACTTCTTCTATATGTTCCCTGAGGTGCAAAGCATCACAGATGATGTGAATAAGCAAAATAACCCAAGGGGTCATTCTGTGGGCTTGTCTATACTACACCAGTGGAGGCCAATGTAGAGATCCTCAAGCTAGTGCCATCCAAGCTAGGTCCATAGCTGCTTTTCTTCTGGCTCAGCAGTAGACCTTCTGAAGGGCTGTATGAGTGAGATGATGGAAAAGAAAAACAAGGAAATCTTCCTAGTGATTCAAACTTCTTGTCTGAACCCACTTCCCTTTGCAAACTGAGCAAAAAACTCTTCAAAAAAGAAGAAAACACGAATCCTTGGAAACTCAGATAAAATGAACTTATTGCTCTGAACTCTGTTTTAACTACTATTTTTCTTAATGGCAGAACTAAGCCATTAATATGTTCAGGAAATGAATAGCATCATTAATTAACGATGCAATTATTGTAAAAAATGAGCTGCAGCCCAGCATCTAGCCGTGGCCTTTGATCCTGTAGGCAGTTATAAACTACTTTATAAACTTCTATAAATCTTTACTCTCCTGAGTATTGACCTAACTTGTGCTAGGAATATTTGTACTGGGGAAGTTGACTGCCTATGTTTCAAGGTTTCAAATAGTTGTGAGCTGCTGAATGAGCACAGACCTGTGGGCTATGGTGAATTTCATAGGCTGTCTTAACGGAAGAAAAGCGTTGTCTTTCCGTTCTTTTAGTAACTTATTTTTATAGATCCTCAGTGTTGTGAGTGTCTTTATTTCTCTTAGAGTGTTTGACCATCATAACTCACTCTACTATTTGGTGAAGCAGATGAGTTAGGCAGTTAAGTTAAAGAAAGAATCTGGTCAATGTATTCTTTCCTTCACAATGTTTGGCACATGCTTGCAAAGCCCAACCAATATGAATTTCTATATCTGTTTGTTATGAAGCTACTAGGTTGCTGGGGCTTTCTCCTACTCTTTTGAAATCCTCTCTTCCTCTGTATAAGATTTCTGTCTTCAAACACTTTTTAAAGTAGGCTCGTGCTTCTTGCATGGACAAGGGAAGTGAGTATCCCTTGTACTGACTACATACTGTAAAGCATCCAAACACGTTAGGTCTATCAGAAAAAATAGGGATAAATATATGCTTAGGCTTTCCCATTTTAACCAGAAGACTGTCTACTGGTAGGACTTATGTACCTGAAGGTCTGTCTACTTTCTCCTTGTGTACTTTTTGTATCAGTTTGTCTATATAAAATATTATGTCTCCACAAGCTCTCCTCTCTTCTTTTGCTTGTATTTTCAGACCATCCTTGCAATAGAAACACTACTAGTTCTGTAGGTCCTTCCCTTCTTTGAATTTTTTTTTTCTCATTAGATGTATCAGAGGGAAGAAATGAATAAGGATATCTGAATGGCATAGGGTTCAAGCACATGCAGAGATTCACGTAGCTTATGTTCATATGAGAGGTCTGAGAATAAAAATGCGTAATAGTTGATAACTTTTTGCTAATACCCTCCTAAACATGTCTAAATTGGCTTTATTTAACAGAGATCAGCTTGATTCTGAGTTACTGGTTTTAAAATCAAAAATTGCCCAGGAAAAAGAGGATTTGAATAAGGAACTTGAAAAGGTAAGAAACAGATTTTTATTCTGGCTCAGAGGTTTTACTAATCTCTGCCTTGCTGAAACACTCACTGAGAGTGAGCCTGCACAAAATGTGACATGTGAGGTGCTTTGGGCGCTTCGATTTGTCTGTGCCTCTGTGCTTGGTCAGAAGAGATGCAAACACTTGTGGGGCTTGTGGCCTCTAAGTCTTGCTCCTGCTCTGGAGGCAGTGCCAAGATCTGATCTTCAGCTGAGACCGCAGGGAGGTGTTGAGACTTAAGGGACACTTACAGGTGGGGTGAACTTGAGGGTTTGGTCTTGTGAACTGGGGTGCAAGCGGATAGAAGGTAATGAGAGTAGGATGTAGATTTGGGAGGCAGTGTTTGTACAATAAGAAAACAGGGGAGATAGGAGGATTGCAGGGAGGCTTGTTAACAAGGGTGAGGTTGGGATTCTGGTTTGGAAAAGCTGTATACAGTTCTTACAGTCGTTTTTGCTGATTTGATCTGTATTTCATTATTACCTTGCATTGCACATGTGGAAAAGCTAACTAATGATGGCAGTTCATCAGCTGAATTTGTGAGGGAAGGCCCGCTGCCTGAGATTGATGATGTTATGCGGACTATGCATTACAGTCTGGGGGTGGTCTCCAACTTATTTTCATAAACTGTCCTCCAAAGGCACACAAATCAAACAAGATGATGGTCCATTAAAAACTCTGCCTTACTGACACTGGGCAGCACTAGATGAGGGCTTAGTTTTCCCCATCCCATACCTACCTCACCTGCACTTCTATTGCATTCCCACCACCACCAGCCAGGACCCAAATCATCTGCTTCCTACCTTCTTTCTCTCTTTCAGCTACCTGCCTCCAGCCAGGACCCATAACTCCTACTGCTCCATACCTTGATATTGTGTGCCCACCTTCCCAGAGCTCCTTCAATCCTAAGGCTTCCTGATTCCTCCTTTTGCACTCTTTGTAGTCCATACAGTGGAGGTGGGAGTTACTGCCTTAAGCTTCATGAAGCAAGGTACCACATGTACCAGACATACTGCTGTTCAGAATGCACCTCTTCCATGTTTTAACCATCACACAAACAGCTAAAAACACAAGAATGGCTGTACAAGGTTAGACCAAAAGTCTGTCTCGCTGATCACTATTGGAGACAGGATAGTCAACAGTAGATGCCCAAGGAAGTGGTTATAAGCCAAGCATATAATGATGCTTCCTCAAAAGAGCACTGCAGGCTCCATTGATTTGTAGCATCTTTGTATTTAGTAGCTCTAGATGGACTTTCTTCCTTTACCCTATCTAATCGTTCTTCAGGGCTATGTGGAAAGCTCACAACATCCTGTGATGCAGCATTCCGCAGCTTAACTTTATGTTGTTTGAATTGAATGTTTTTATTGAACCACCACCTGCTAATTTCATTTGGCACCCTATCCTTCTCATACTGGAAGGACACTTAATAGCTTTTCCCTGATTACTTTCTCCATGTTGCTCATGCTTAGAAAGACCTCTATAAAGTTTTCACTTTTCCTGGCTAAGAGTCCTAGAGTGTTTAACTTTTCCATTCTGTGCCATCCTTGCCACCTTTTTTCATATCTGCTGCATACATTCTGGGAAAAGTTATTTAAATTAACTTGTAGCAACAGCAATTTCATCTGCTGTGGCTATATTGCTTGTTTAAAGCTAACTCAGGTATCTGCACAAGGTATGCAAGCCATGTTTCCACTCTAGTGGATACACCTATGGAGCAGCATTAGTGCTTGCAGGCTGTTCCAGAGTGACCGGTTTGAATGGGGCCATGGAAATGAAGAGTCAGAGAAGCAATCTTGATGTGACATTCATATATGTTAATTATGTGTTGTGAATCTTGATTCATTCTAAAGTTCTCTAAGATTTTCTAATGAAAGGCACTATAGCACTATAAAATATTATTATGAGGTAAAAGAGGCAGAAAGAATAATCAGCTAACATCAGTACTCCTTACTTCTAGATTACAGAAGATCTATGTAACGTTGAACGCCTAAATAAAAAACTTAAATTAGAAAATAAAAGTATACGCCAAAAGTACCAGCAGTTAGCGGAAGAAGAACAACACTGGGCTGTAAAAAGGGATAAGACTGTGGCAAAGTAGGTTTTACCTATGAGATTTTTGGATACAGGTTTTTGAAGTATGTGGTTTTATGACTAAGACTTTTCTTGCTAAATAATGAGATCGTGTTTCTGCCTGACTAAGGATCTAACATATGTATTTTTTTCTTCTTGTAGATTGGGGAAATTATCTATTTTGCTAGATGAAAATCTTGAACTTTTGGCAAATCGTATGATGGAAGAGAAAAACCTGGAGGAGGAAATTGAAAATCTTGAAGATAACCTACTGTATGTAATCTTTCCATTTTGACAACACTAAATGATCTCAGTAGTTTACTCAAGAACTCAGCTGGTTTGCAAGATTCTGAAGTGTAGCATTCAATAGGGTGGTTAAATGGATACTAACAGGCTGGTGTGAAACTTCCTGCAAAACAGGAGGTTAGCTGCTAGTTACCATAATTCAATATGTAGTCTCTTATCATGAGGCAACGAATGTGCAGATAACGAAGGACATTGAGACAATCCAGAATGTAAAACTTGACAAACAACAGTTGTGACGGTTAACTCCATACTGTGGTAACACATCTTGGACTGAATCATGACCCATTTACCATGGTATCTGGAGGCACAGAAGTGACCCCCCAAAAAGAAATTTTTGGCCTGTGTGGTCAAAGCAAGATAGACTTCCTGTGCTCTGTCTATTGGAGTACAGCTAGGAGGAGCATGGCCAAAGCCTTGCAGCTCTCTGTAAGCTTGCAGTTCGTGGAAGAGTTTCAGGGACTTTGTTGCCATCGGTAAGGGCAAGTCCATGTGTACTGACCCCTCATATCCCGCGTGAGACCCAGCTTGTCTGTGCACTAAAGAATCAGGACAGCAAGGCTGAACGTTGTCCACTGATAATCAAATTCTCCCAGGGAAGAAGCATAATCTCCACAAAGGGGAGAGCTTTTTTTTTCCCCCTGCTTAGTAGAAGGTGTAAGTTTTCATCCTTTGTAAGACAGAGTGAAAAGGTTCAGCCAGTCAATCTCATGTCCCCGAAATCTAGCAGAGACAAACATATGCATGCAGTCTGTATTTTAACTGCTACCAGTTGTCCTGGGTTCTGTGCAACTTTTTGGTAGTGTGGCATTGGAGGGGCAATGCTACTAGGGTCTTCCTGTCATCTCTCTAATCCTCCTGAGGAATGTTTCCTTAATATCGAGTTGTCATACTTCTGGATATAATTATAGATAAAGAGTAAAAAAATAATTGCTTACCTCCCTTTTTATATAGAATATGAACACATGGAACACATTCATTCTGCTCTGCAGGAAATGAAGTACATCTCTATCTTGATAGGAGCAGTGTTTTCATTTTACCTGACAAAGGAGATATTGCTGTCGTGTAAATGTGGGATGACAAAAGTGAGGTGTAAATGTGGGATGACAAAAGTGAGGATTATTAGGTAGCCATTTACTGCTAAAGAGGAGGAGAACTTGTAGTGGAGTTGTTGCGCAATGAAGTCTGCAGCATAAAACTAAATTAACAAGACATTGAGGTGAAATAGTTGTCAAACAGTATCTTGAAACTAACTGGATATCTACATTAATGATAGTAAAGGAAAGGGTTGTAAGAATTTCTCCTAGAGTCAATTGCCCATTAATTTCCAACTTTTAAACTAGACTTCACAGAACTGTGGAAATACATTGTAGTTCGGAGCTTTCAGAAATGCTGATTGAAAAATCCCCTTCCCCTTGTACCCCACCCCATACTTTCTTAATGTTTTATTGTGTGTTTGCTTATAACAATATAGTTCTGTGAATTTTTGCTGGCCTCATGTGAAAGAGATGTAGACATCCCTATGGATCAAGCCCCAGATTGCTTAATTTCAGTGTACATCACGCTGATCTCCCGGTCACCTATTTTAACAGTGCCACCAAACCTGAAATCAAAATTAAGGTCTCTTGTTAATTTCTATTGTTTTTAAGAGTAATATGCAGTGTATTCAGAATTTCACCACAATTTCAACCTTACGAGATTGACTGATTTTTATGAGAGCACTTTCAAATCAAGTCTGTCAGGTTCCATTTAGCAAGGGGAATCTCTAATTGATTAGGAACAGTCTTAAAAATTCCAAACAGAGAAACCCACCAACGAGAGAACAGTGAACATAATTTTGGAAACTACGGAATAGAAGAAATACAATTTTTCAAACAAAGTTTTGCAATAATTATTTGGGACGCATTCAACTGCTTTAAAGGTGCCTTGGAGTGCTGGCTTGATACTTTTAAGTTTTGCCCTTGGAACAGCAATACCTTTGGGAGAAAGCCCTATAACCGCCTCCTTGTAAGTCTTTATGGGGTTTGGAGTGGCCACTTTCTCCCCCTTTGTGCCTTGAAGGAGTGAGAATCACTGGCAGCAGTATTTCCTGAGAACATTTTCCGTGTCATTCAGACATACAGGAACACACAGGAGATGCTTCACATCACCAGCCTTTTTATTTTATTGAACTCCCCTAGCATGTGTTGAATCCATATAAAGTTAATGCATTTTAATATTTACCATACATAATACACTAGAAGGTACATACTAACAAATTAAAATTGATTTGTCCATCTGGTAAGTTCTACTTCTGTGAACACTCTTTTGTAATACTTACTACTAATACACTAGTGTACTCATTCGTTCCTGAAACATCTGTTCTTGTTTTTTGGGTTTGTTTACTGGTTTTGGCTTGAAAAAAGACACCTAACTTTGCCTTAGTTCCTGATGAAAGCCTCTTAATTTTAAACCGATGTTTCCAACGGGAGAAACAAAAGGTATAACAGACAGTTATGGCTGAACACCGTAGCAGATATACGTTTTTGAGATGTGACCCTCAAGTACCATATTGCCTCTCTCCACCTAGCGGAAGTGCTGAGCGTGTTGGCTGCTGAGAAGGAAGTTTAGAAAAACTGTACTAAAAAATTGACATAAAGTAAATGTTGTGCAAACCTTCAGTGCTATTTCTGAAAATTTCTCTTTCCCCCCCCCTGCAGAAAGATGGAGGAGAGCTATGAAAAAGAGCTGAAATCTCTAGAGGAAGATTTAAAGTCAGAAAGTCAGATGAGGTAGTATTGGCTAGAATATCTGCACTGTAGCTTAAAAAATGAAGCTAATAAATTATTACACCTTGTTGCTGCTATTTTATATGAGGTGTAAAACCATGGCCTCACTATGTAAATATTCAGTGGTACAATGACAATAATCTTCTCAAACACTCCTGTGGTTTCATTTGAATGCCAAGTGGTGACAACCACTGCTGAACTTACCGCGTAGGTTGCTCTTTATCATCATGATATTAACTATTCTCCTTAATTGTATGAGCTCTTTGGGCTTTTCCAGAAGATGGACATTTACGTAAACTGTTGCTATTTTTTTCCATTTTAATCAATTTTAATTTTAATTAATGTTCATTGGTGGCTGATCCTGCACTTTTGAGATCAATGGGAATTTCGCCATTGAATTCAATCAGAAAGAAGTGTTCCAGTTCACTGCCATATTGGGCATGCCCAGCTGCAGCTAGGATGTGTGGGAGCTTTGTGTGATGAGCACCTTTCAAAGTCAGACCACCAGACTACTGAGATGGGGGGGATGTCACATGGTCAAAGCATATGATTGACTCAGAAAGAATGAAGTATCTTTGCATCTTCAGTTATGTCATCTGTCTTCCTTGGAGGAGTCGATTTCTCATTATGCAGCAGCATCTACCGAAGTTTGTATTTTTAGGAAATCTTTGGAAAGGATTGTATACAACTTGTTACACAAGGTGCCCAAATGACTAAGAGTTATGTTAGCCATACCTCTCTTCAGAACGTTTCACATGAAGTAGCTTGTATCACCTTTCATATATACACGCATGTCACATGCAGTGATGTGCAGTACCTGTGGAAGAAGACCCGAGCTGGATAAATCTAAGCAAACAATTCTAGCTGGAGTTCAAGTGAGAGCGAGATTAAACTTTCCTGTTAGTTTCGAATTTCTCAGCAATTTCTAGATTTTAGTTTAAATTCTTGGAGGTGCAAACTTCTGTCCACTCTGTCTGTCTAAACTCAGCTAAGCGTAGCTGGTTCATGAGGTGCTACCATTCCACACCAATATGGAGATGTCTTCTGTTCAGAGCATTGAGATCTACATACTACATAGAGTTTTTTTCCTTTGTGAATGCCTCTTTGTTTGTGAGACCCTGATGAGATTTTTACCTCCTCTTTATTATCCACAAGAAAATATCTGAATTTAGGAAATTCCTTAGCCCCCTGCAGTCAATAGGATGCTCTCCAGAATAAACCCATTGTCTGCTCAGCTATTTCACATTAGCTATGCAGCTCTGATTTCTCATTTGATTATGCTTTTGTGAAAGATGCAAAAAGAACTGGAGGAGATTGCTTGGTCATCTAGTCCAGTCTGGTTCTCCTTTGAATATTACATCATGTTTTTCTCTCCCAAAACAGATAGAAGATAATGCATTCCCCAGTGTTTAGTACAAAGAGAGGCACTTTTAAAGGGTAATTCAAAGTTTGTATGTCTTGAAAAGCACACTAGAGCTACACATCTCCTCTTAGATTTTGAGGAGCTGAGATTCCTAGCTGAACCATTTTGATTGTAGTCCTGAAGTTATGGGAAATGTGTCTGAATCTTCCAATCTTTTTATTAGTCTTTTTTAAATTAGGCTTGCTGTGCCTCTGAAAATGCTATGCATCTCCCTTGAATGTTTCTCTCCAAAGTTCAGCTCATTTTTCTGCTTATGTATCTGTCACTAGAGCAATGCTTCAGTGGAAGATACTGCACTTAACAAAACAGAGACACCTCTTCCTCTCAGTGGAAGAGAATATAAACAAAGAAATGAATGAAAGAATAGAGGCTGGTAAAAAGCGACGTGCTGAACTACTTCTGGAGGTACGTTAAGCAGCAGGGATTATAATCCCAACACTCTGTGTTACAGAACATTCATGCTGTTAAAATAATCAGAGTAAACTGGTGTCAAAGTAACTAACCTCCAAGGCCAGTTTGTTGCAGGATATTAATCACGTTATCAGATCTAACGATTTGACCTTATAACTACTATTAATAATAATTTTAAAGCAAATATATTTTAAATGCAGATTGCTCTCATTTTGTTTTGATCACTTATTTCTGAGTAGTCCAAGTAGACATCATGCATTACAGAAGTCGCTGACCACTTTCATTTTGTTTTCCATGATGAGATTGAAGACTTAGAGAAAGAACTTTTGCAGTCTGAAAATCAAGTCAAAGACCTGAGTGAAGAAGTAAATAAGAGGGAAACTGACTACAGGAATTATAAGGAGGATTTTACTAACAAAATAAAATGTCTGGAGGTAAGTTTTCTTGTTCTTTTCATTGACTTTGAAAAGTTCTCTGATGGATGAATTGGCAGTGTTTGCTGCATCTCAGTAGCGGTATGCTCATTGGGACCTGCAAAGGAAGTGTGACCCACCTGTTGGTAATTATTTCAGGTAAATTCTCTACTTTGCAATTTCATGTGGGTTTCATTTTATTTGTTTCTTTTTTTTTTTTTTTAATGCTGGTAAACACTTCGGGTGAGACCCTCAGACTACTAAGCCACTGGCATCAGTGCACTCCCATGTATGTATTTCTTTGCATATGGCCCTATACATCAGTAGAAGGCCATGCAGTAGAAGTATTTCTCAGAAGGCATGTCTCCCATTTTAAAATGAAAATATGTGCACGACCAGATTCAGTCCTGACATGAACCCAGTTTTCAGCTTTGTTGTGAGCTTCCCAATGTGTAATTTGTAGAATTTGTTCCATCATTTTTGAGTAAGCAGCTCAACGTTCATGGAAATATGACAGCCTAATTTCAGACACTGATCAAATTCTGCTCAAAACTATTGGTGTGGTAAATTTATTAGGGTGACTGGTGGTGTGCAAGACAGAACCCAAGGCTGCTTAGTGTCTGTGTTCTTTAAAACGCTGGTGAGCTTTCTTTCCCAAAGAAAGTAGGACACTGAAATGCTGAATATGAGCTATGTGGAGCTTTCAGAAATTTCAAGCACTTCTCTGATCTTCAGTACACAGCATATGTTTTATCCCCAGGAAACGTGTCTTGACTGTCTGACTCTTGGTCAACAATCTGATTTGAGCTAGGATAAATCAGAAGTCAGGAGTGTAGGAAATATCTTCTTTATGTATCTGACCTTAGAGAGGTGGATTTACGAAAGCCTTGGGGACCTTTCTCATTTTGCTGGCAGCAGAGGGGGTGCTCCTATATCACACAACACAGCTATGGACATGTAGCTGCTGAAGCCTACCTAGTGATCAGGGCTGAGCCTGTCTCTGCTAAATAAACATTTGTGCTGGATTCATTCTCATGCTCTTTCTGGCAGTTGAGCTATGCCAAATATAGAGACAAGATGCTAAATATACCTTTACCCTTGCTCTGATGTCTTTTTTTTAATTCTAAAAAGTATTTTTCTCTCCTTTAATACAGTGCTGATGAAAATGTTATCAGAGGGTTGTCTTTTTGCTGATAGCCTGGACAGAACCAGGTTGAAGAAGTAATTGTAACTGTTTATTTTTCTTAGGTACAGAAAAAGTTGCAATAATAGTAGTGATACAATTAAATTCGTAACACAAACACCACTTAGTTTCTACCCCTTTCCTTGGTGTTATGCTCACCCTTCCCCTGCTCCCCAGGGTCCTAAGGTCTGTGGCTTCCCAGTGGCATTGGTGGAGGTGGTGGTGGTGGCAGGGGGGATGCGGTACAGCAAGTTATTAGCATCTGGAGTCCTCTGTGGGGAGGAATATCATGCTCAGGTTAATGGTTTCTTCTTTCTGCTCCCAGGATCCACTTGAGGCCATTTTCACATGTTTGCTAACGTGCATTTACACCTTTCTCTTTCTTCATTAGGTTGCAGCTCCAAGTTACATCCAAATTTAATATATATGGTGGCTTTTACATATGTTAGATGCTGTTTCTTTGTTCTTTTTTGCCTTTCTAAAACTAGTTTTGTCCAGTTCCAGGTCTGCCTTTTTTTAACTGATCATTAGTGAGTTGTTTATAGCCATAGGGTCTCCAGTGCCAGGCCTGCGCTCCATCTCTTATCAACCTATGCCTGTACTCTTCTGTGCTGCATCCTGTCTCCCCACTTCTCAAGGCCTCTGCTATCATACCCAGCTAGTATTTCTCTAAACTGCATCGTTGTGTTAGGGTCCTAAATATCTTATTCTACACAGAATAACTGCTCGTTACTGGTGTCTATAGAGAACTATTGTTGTACCACACAAAGATAAACAAAAGTAAAACAAATTAGCCATACTCATCCAACCAATTAGAAATTGCTGTCACAGGTAAACCAAATAATACAAAGCTATAGGCAGGTCAAGAAAATTTCAGACAGAGCAGGTCTGACAAACCTCAATCCCGAGGCCTTGCAAACTCAATACAAAACTTACAGCTTGTTACTAGTAATGGCAATACCATATTACAGGGCTTCATGGGTTCTCCCCTTCCCTGTTTTTACCTAATGCAACAAAAGATAAAAGATCTAGTTTTCCACTGAAAAGTCGTTTAACTCCTGACTTGTGTTCCTTTTGCCCTAGCAACTTGAGATTGCACTATGCTGAGAGATGCACGTACATAGAATTAAACATTTTTTTGCTTTAAAACCAAAGGTCAGATTTCTAAAGCTAAAGAATGAGACAGAGAAGGATTAAAATGTACAGATTTGTAATGGTATTTAGGTGATGATCTGCTGAGACTTCAAGACCTAATAGTTCTTCTCCCCTGTGCTGATGTAACACAGTGCAAAAATTCCCAGGCTGGTAAGTCTGTGCAGCTCTGTCACAGGGGGGTGTACAGTTCAGATCCAGAAGCTATGTAGTCACATTTATATTAAACAAATATTAGTATGATGAAAAAACCTGCCTAAGGCTGGACATGAATGGACAAAATGAGACATGTCAAGCCACAGAATGAAATGCAGATAGAAAAGGCATGTGGAGTAACATGAAAGTGCTCCATATTGGTGGTAAGAAGAAGAAATTTTTAAAATTGTGTTGCTTCACAGATGAGTCAGCAGACTCAAACGGCTGACGTAAATAGTGCTGCCTCAGAAAGGTATTAACGCAGGCTGAGATAGGGAAGGAAAAAGTTAGCAAGCACACCCAGAGAACTTGCAGGTTTTCAGGTCATCTGGGTCTGACGAAATCCATCTTCAGGTAGTTAAATAGCTGCAGCCATTTCAGAGCTATTCAAGATTATTTGTAAGCCTACATAAAGACTAGGCAAAGCCTGAATCAACTTCATTTCCATCCTGGGTAAGGCACAAGGTTGGTACTTCCAGGATCCTGTCTTCAGCAGTGATTGGCAGTGCTGCTTAGAGAAGAAATATAAGAACAATCAAATATAGAATTATCCTTCTTCTGTGCAGTCTCCCTGACAAATGAAGTGTCATGAATTTCCTTGGCTAGAAATGGTATCTGCATTTTGGAGTTAATAGCTTTTGATGGAATTTTATGCTATGTTGAATCTTCAGTGCAATATTTCTCTATTGCTTATTGATCCTTTTAATTTATGTATGTGTTTATCCTCCATAACAACCTATAGTAGTGAGTTGTGTACTTTATTTAGTAAGAACAAAACTTTTGTTTTGTTTACATTTCAAAATGTGTCTTTTGTTTTAAAACCAACAATTTTATTTTGTTTTTGTCTCAAAAGTTTATTGGCATCTCGTAGTTTCTGTGTTCTAAGAAACAGTGAATAACTGTTGTCTTACCTTCTCCATCCCTTTTACCCTTCTACTTTCATGATTTTACATACATTTATTGTATGTCCTTTCAGTTCTCTCTTTTGCAGGCTGAAGACTCCTTAGTACAAGAACAGTTGGAAAAATCATCCTAGATAATAGTTTACTGCCAAAACAGAATAAAGAACCCAGTTGGTTTGAGGGAGTCTATTCTCAGACTGGAGCTAACCTGTATTTTCCTTAATAACTTAGAGGATAGGATAGAGAGAATGCTTATCGTATGTGCAGGTTGCAAACAAGATAGGACTGGGAGCACCCTCTGGAGGGTAGAACTAGAATTCAGAATGATTTTAGCAAATTGGAGAAGTAATTTGGAAAAAAAGGAGGAGGGGGGAGGAGAGACATAGGAGAGACATAGAAAATACAAATCTGTGTGCTTAGGTAGAAACAGTTGTCTGTACAAGTCCAGCAGGCAGGGAGTCTTTAACCCTAGCAGTGGTAACTAGGACTAAAGCTGTCAAGTTGAACAATGATATGTAGTGGTAAAAAGCAATCACAAAACCAGTCTGTGTGAAGAGGTATATAGCATGGCGAGACATGTGAAGTAGGTTTTCTGCTCTATCCGATTTTGGCAAGACACAACTGGTGAACAGTGTCAGGTTTTGATCCCTCATTTAAAGAAGGATGCGGATCATTTGGAGAGCTGAAATGAGTTCAGTAAAAGTGATTAGAAGAAAAATTGAAGAAATGTGTAGCTTTTCCATTTAAAATAGAGCAAACTAAGAGAAGACACGGTAGTAACCTCCAAATGTATAAAAGATATATCGCAAGATGATAAACTTTTCTCCACGTCCACTTGAGAGGAGACAAATAACAGGGAACAGAGTAGGTTTAACTTAAGAAAAAGTTCATCCTTAAGAAAATGTTGACAGCGCAGATAGCAAAATTAGTAAAACCCTGAAATCAATTGTCTGAGATATGGTATCTCTATTGCTGGAGTTTCTAAGGATAGATCAAACATCTGTCATGGGTACTTAGGTCTAATTGATCCTTCTGTAGAGCAGATGGATGGACTAAGATGACCTCTTGGGATCACTTCCAGTCTTATTTCCTATGTTTTTTCTTCTGGACACATTGAATTATTTATGCATTAAATGCTGTTTAGATAGATTGTTGTCTAGGGCCAGACTCTTCTCAGTGGTGCCCGGCAATAGAACAAGAGGCAGCAGGCACAAACTGAAACACAGGAAGTTCTGTCCGAACATGAGGAAAAACTTCTTTCCTGTGAGGGCGACTGAGCGCTGGAGCAGGTTGCCCAGAGAGGTGGTGGAGGCTCCTTCTCTGGAGATATTCAAAACTCGCCTGGACGCGATCCTGTGCAACATGCTCTAGGTGACCCTGCTTGAGCAGGGGGGTCGGACTAGATGATCTCCAGAGGTCCCTTCCAACCTTGGCCATTCTGTGATTAGTATTTATTTTCATTAAAGAATGACTTCAAAACTGCAACTGAGAATCTGCATCAAAAAGAGCAAGAATTAAACATAAGCAAACTAACCTTGGAAGAAACCCAGAGAGAATTAGAAGAGAAGCATACAAAATACGAAGAACTCAGGAAAACATTTTTAAGTAAGTATTAGGTAGCTTCTCTGCAGAGTGGGGCTTTCTCTTGCTTTTCAGAAAGCATTTTTACCGTAGTCCTTTGGCTGTGGTTCAGGTAAACAGTGAAGCAAGCAGAAACTGAGCTCTTTGAAACAACTGGAATCTCTAGGCATGGCTATAACATAAATTGGGAATATTTGAATAAAAAGCCACACATGTTAAACAGATCACTTACTGACAGAATCTAGTTTTCCTTAGAACAGCCTAACTTTAATGTTCAGTCATTACACTAAAAACCCTTTTCCTGCTTTTTAGAAAAGAAAAATGAAGAGATAAAAGCCAGAAGAGCCATTGAGCAGTCAATCAAGACTACTGGGAAGCTCAAGGAGGACACGGTAACAGCTTGAAACTTAGCTTAAATTTTCTATGAAGTTCCCACTGTCACCTTTATCCCCTCGCAGTAAAGAACAGGCATCCATGGAAACTGGGGGTGACAGGTTGAAGGTTGGGGTGTACCTTCCGCTCTGGTCTTGTGCTTCTGAGATCTCGTGTTCGGTTCCACAGCTGCTTTGTGTAGGGGGTTCCTGCCTGGGGCATGCCTCCTAGCACAGCTCAGCTTGTGGCCCAGCATTTGTAGCAAGCTGCCCTTATGCTTGATTTTGCATCCCTCAGGCATGTGAGCAGGCCAAAAAGAAGCCGAGGGATTACTCAAGTGAAGGAAGGCCCCTTGTGAACCTGCTCCCATTCAGATGCTTGATACTGCTGGGGCGGGAGTTTCTGCCACTTCAGTAACTCGCATTTGAAAAGCCTTTCTGTACCCTTGCCTCTTTACCTATCTTCCTTATCTCTGACTTCAGGCATTTTAATTAGCACCAGTGTGAGGAGAGAGGAAATTGTATAGTTGTGGGAGTGGTTCAAAAAGTCTTAGGCATGGTGGATCTACTGTTCCCCAGCCAGAGAGTCCCTACAGAGCTCGCACAGTGTGTCTGCCTGTCCGCCCCACTCAGACCTGCTGCAGTCAATGAACCTGAGCGCAGCAGCCACAGTGCATTTGAGATCGGCTGTGCCCGTGGTGGCCATTTTTACATTTTTGTGTGTGTGCACACACAAACAGTCTCAGTATGTACCATGGCCATTTGTCTAGGACTGCTGTGCATCAGGCAGCCTAGCCAGAGCATGTTCCAGCAGGGCTGTACGTCCTAGGCACGCAATCAGATTCCTTTCACTTTTTGTTCCCCTGCCAGAACAAAATTTCTAGGTAGCAAAGGTGTATAGTTGAGTCTTCTGGTGTTAATGGGAAGAATGAAAGGTTTTTAGTTACTGAGAAGTCCATAACTGCTTCGTATGAAAGGTACTCAATGAACTACATAAAGGTGGACTCTGTTGTGATGCAGATCAGACTGGAAGACTCAGGTTCAAGTGGCCTGATACATAGGCAAATCGCTCTGGTGACTGCTCCGCAGAAGAGACAGCAGCACAGAAACTGTCCCTGGTTCAGAGAAAGGAGACCTATTTCTCCAACCCAGCAGTACAGTGCAAAAACACTTGTGTACACTTGAACATCCAGGGACAGAAATGTGGTATTTCTGCCATTGAGGTGGCCCTATGGTGGGGAGGTCACTTCATGTCAGAGCTGATTCCTTTCTTTTGGACTGTGAGCAATTGCTCCCCCTCTCTGTATCTCTTTCTTCTCATTGCCAAGAGGGCTTAGATACCTATCTCAGGCGGCCCTTTGAAATTTTTTAACGAAAGGTACCACATAGCAAAAACCCTTTTCAGTTTGTTTAATTAGGGGACAAAAATCCTATATAGAGGTTAAGACCCGTCAGCACTAAAGGGTTTGTTTACAGCTGGAGCTGAGGAATGAATTGCGGATCAAGCGTGACACTGCATTTGGCCAGCTGAAAAATCATACAGAGAGTATGAAGTGGCTGGAAAGAGACATCTATGAGATCAACAGAAAACTCGACATCGTGAACACTGAGAACTGCAGATTAAAATTAGTGAGTATATTGAGGGCTGACAGTGTTCCTTCTCAATATGAAAATCTCTGTTCACTTTTCATTTCACACAGTGAACTAGCACTGAAAGATGATTAAATGTAAACATCACAAACCACAAATGTCCTTTTAAATGAACGTGTGGGGAGCAGCTGACTTTAGAGGACAACGGAGAGGAAGATCCCAGGGCAAGTCGTCTCCCTAAGACATTATCCTATAATTAGGAATCTTTCCAGACTGAGTGGGAAAGTACTGTGCTGCATTCAGTCTGGGACTGTAGGAAAAGGCCTTCCTGCCTCGTGAAGAGGGCTGAGATGGAAATGAGATGTGGACTAGGCCTGTGCTGTTTGGAAACAGCATGAGCAAGTGCCAGGTTCATCCTTACGGGCTTATGACCCTGTTCTAGGGCTGCTTCTTTACTGTTTTTTTTTTTCCCCAAAAGTGTGGTGTTGACAGCTGTTGCGCTCACTGCCAGAAGGCCCGTAACCAGCTAAGTGATGGGGTGTAGCTTCCTAAGTGAAGTAGATGGTGAGCTCTTGCCCTCAGAACAGTGTACGGTTAAACACCAGCAGGCACTCAGAGAGGCTGTGGGACCTCCGCCTCTGGCTGGAGGTTGCCGGAGGAACCTGATCTAATGTCAAAGCTGGTTCTGCTTTGCGTAGTGGGTTGTACCAGATGACCTCCTAGTGCCCTTTCCAATCAAAATTATTCTGTAACTATATGATATTTGTATCATGATAGGAGAAACACTGTAAATCAGAGAGGGTTAAACAAGGATAATAACGTCTTCAGCAGCCACTCAACAAATAGGCCCCCCGGTCAGCTGCTCTCAGCAAGACTGCAGGGAAGCAAACCCGCTTTAATTATGTAGACATTTACTTTCCTGTTGACTCTGGTGAGTGAAGAAGCCTGTGTCCTTTCCCTGGTACAGCCATCTCTGGACTGAAGCAATACAGTTTTGGGGCACGTCCATCCTGATTAAGGATTTGATTTTGGCATCCAGTTCCCACTTTTACGGAAGTGGTCTATAAGCATTTAGGTGCTGAATCCTCACTGGAAATGACTAGGCTTAGATACCAAAGGACCTATTTCTTCTTTCTGCTCTTTTTAGAAACAGTGAAACTATTAGTTTAGAAGCTATTTTAGAAACTTTAATGTTTAACGTTAATGCTAAACTGTGACAAGTATTTGGCTGTAATTATTTTTTCACAGTGCAATGCACAGATAAAAGAAGATATTTTTGCAATGAATTCTGAAGCAGAAAACCACAAGTCAGCAACAACCAAAATCCTGAATGACCTAGCAGTGCTTCATGGTAACATGTTAATAAATATTTCAGAACAAAAAATGGTATTTTGTAAGAATATATTTGAGCCCTTATGTCTTCTTTGCAGAGCTCCCTACCATGTTTTAACTTTTGACTCTCTTGCAGATCTTCTTCTGAAGGGATGGTCAGAGGACAGCTCTATGCAAAAGGTGAATTTCAGTTTTGTATGCTACTATTTTGCATTAATGCTTTGCTTACCATCTCAAAATAAAATTTCATACTGCAAATACGGCTACTGCTTTGTGTAAATGCTCTGCCCAGCATGTCAAAAATAAAATTTCATCCTGCAGACATGGCACTACACTGTTTGAAGTCATACAGGGGAAACGTATTAAACTTATGTTCTTTAGCTGCTGTATGCCAGCATCAGGTAGTTAATGAAAAGCTTCCAGCAGAGCTACAGGTTTGGTGGCCAAGGAAGCTATGGAAAAACAAGATAAACAAAACAAGTTTATGAATTTTTTATTTTTAAGAAAAAAGAAATTCTACTTTTTCTCATTACAGGAATTTTTGGAGAATGAGCGGGAAATACTAAAAGCAGTGACAGCTCTAATAACAAAAATCCAACAACGAGAGAAGAAGATCGGTGATATTAATAGCAGGCTACAAAACAAATTGGAAGGACTTGATTCTCTAGTTGAAAAAAACCCCAGAGTGGATCACCGTAAGATACACCAAACTTATTCTTTTCCTGTTCTGCTCTTTTGGACTTCTGATGAATGTGTTCATTTTAGCAGCTTGTTAGAAAATAGTAGTAAAGCTGTGTTATACCAGATCACTCTTATTTGCAGATCTGCACTTACAGGCACAGTGGAAAAGCTGATGCATTTATTAGCAGAATTAGGCATGCCTTATAACACAGCCCGAATATTATTAATTATCTTGAATTTCCACTTCCTTCACTTTTGTGACAATGACAGTGAGGGGGCTGCAGAAAATACTCTGAGTGTCATTGATCTTTGCAGAATTATACATTAGCTTTTCCACAAAGGATAAATAAAGCTATCAAACCCTAGCTCCTGCAGTTTGTTGTTGTGTGGTTATCGCTGTAGGACTGCATGGTTAATTAATGTTTATGGCGTCTAGCATTTTATATGTGGGCAATTTGTACTGCTGTTTCCATTTAAATCAACGATATTTTATACTGCTGTCTTGGAGGATGACAGGACACAGGGGCCCTAGGCTCATACAAGCAAAATCACTTGCTTCAGGTCCTCTTTTTAACTCAGACCCTGCAGACTTCAGCTTTCAGAGAGCTAGTTCAGAGAGTTTTTAATCTGTAATGAGTCACAGGTTTGGTCTCTGTGTGACTACAGTCTTGTTACAGACTCTGTCTTTTAATTGTGTTGTAAAGCTGAAGGGTTACGGCATTCACGCTGCTTTGAAATCCTTGGGGCTGGGTAATGTGCCAGGAAGTCAGGGAGAGGGGTGAGGAAGGAATCTCCCTGGAAGGAAGCCAGGGAGAGGAGAGGCATGGTGAAGAGACTCAGTGCCGGTATCATTTTCTGTGTGAAAGGTACAAGTCAGGCTTCTAGATAAAGCACCTACACAAAAATATGTATTGGTTATTGAAAAAGATTTGTATTTATTTAGCCAAATCTGCCTAACACACTGTGACTGTCATTGCACTTTTTTTTTTAATACTAGTGAGAGCAGGTGACGAAAAGTTTATTAATTTGTATTTTACGTTTCAGGTTCTGCTGAAGACTAAAATATTGGCGCCCAGAAGGAAAGGCAAACATTTGGTTATGCCAAGCATGGTCCATACAGTGCACTGGGTTCCTGTAAGCTCTGTTTATATTAGACTCTCTGCTTCTTGGACCTTTAAAATTAATATGATTCTACACCTCTCTACACCTATCAGTAGCTGTACTCGTCTCTACAGCTAACTTTTACCTGAGATTTGTTGTTACTTTTCTTTTTAAAAACAATATATAGCCTAACTTTTAAACACAGTACACATTGTCCATGCCCAGAATGCACTTACCCACTGCACATGTACTGATGTGGCAACCGTGTGCAGATACAGGCACAAAACTGCTAAGGACATTTTAAAGAAAAATATGCCTATGAAACTGTCAGTTACTGGAAATGGGTATTTTAATATGTGAGTATTAAAGACCCTATTATGAGTGAGTATTATAAGACTGTCTTTTTAGAACTGTCCTCTAGATTTGTGTGTCTGCAAATTACATTTTTTTATGTAGCAGTATAGGCAGAATTTGTTTGATTTCCTTAAGGAGCTCAATTACTTCCTTAATCTCTAAATAAAACCTTGTTCCTGCATGCAGGATTTGTTTTGTTTGTGCACTATTTTTTAGACACACTGAACCTGTCTGTTAGCTGGCATTCCAAAGAACCAAGGAAAGAGAGATCACATTTAACAAAATTAAACCATCTACTGGGAAAGCGCTTAGCTGTTGAACAGAGGACAGCGACATCTCGAGGTAGACCAGCTGAGAGAACACTCAGACTAACCCCCCTGAGCTGCCTGCAGGTGCTATCCCTTTGCACTGTTCCTTTACTTTTAAGTGGTTTGTCCATAGTAATGTAGAGAGATAATACAATATGAAAGGCGTTACTTACACATTTAAATATGGAAAGATAAGCTGGTATTTGTACTGCTATACCCAATGATCCATAAAGTAAAATAAGTTTAAGAGGAGGAAATAAACCTTTTTTGTTACTATTCCCTCCATCTCTGACTGTTTGACAAAGCCATTGGAAACACTGCTATTAGTTACTGGAGCAAAATAAGCTAAATATTGTGTTGGTTACCCTGAAGTATCTGGATTCAGTTGCTATTCAATACATGAGAAGAACAAATAGCCATCTGTTTCATGCTCCCGGTCTTTTTTAGGTTAGCGATTCATATCAAGGTGTTCATGGAAGTATATAGATCTTCAGGAATATAGAGAAACATTAGGAGGGTATTAGAGTGATGACGTCTCCTCAAGGAGACAAAGTCTCTCCTTTTTATTTATTTTTTTTAAATCTGCCCTATTTTTTCTTTGCCTATATTGGGGTTTAAATTACCCTCAAGGCTGCTCACATCGTCTAGACCTCCTACTACTACATTGTCATTCAGGGTGTTTATAGCATTCCAATAGCGATATTGTGTAAAGATCTGGGATAGCATTTATGCCTAAGATGCAGTTATTCTTCTCCTTTCTCAGCTGCTAAATCTCATCCCTGTATGACCACAGCTGCTGTTGCACTGTGGCTACTGCTCTGGCCACTCAGACTGATCCGGTTGAAAAAAAAAAAAACAGAGCAGAAGTTGTGAACTCTTGGCACCGCTAACAAACTGACCAAACAGGCATGACGCTTTCCTACAGCAGTAGCTAAGGTGACTGTGCTGAAAGAGGTAGACATATCCATACATAACTACCAGATGCGACACAGGCTCACCTGCAGCAAGTGGTTTGCTGACAGACGTTTTAGGCTATTGGGAAGAGAAAAACTGTAGTTTTCTTACACTGTAGGAGTGTAAGAAAATGACTTTAGTGGGAAAGGATGCTATTACTCAGTCAGGAGGAAGTCTCCATACCTGAACCAAGTACACAGAATATAAAATATACTTTAGACAACTTCACAATGCATTTCCTCTCCTTGCCAGCAAAGCGGGGTGAAGAATAGGCGAGGAGAAGCTCGAGGGGTTTTTTTTTTTTGTTTGTTTGATCATCTGGCAAAGTACTGTTGTCTAGCTCTACCTATGTAAACTCTTCTCTTCTCGGTCTCAGGAGGACAATAGTTCCGCATGGTTGTTAACAGAAGCTAGAAAATCTGATGACAGAACCAAGTTCTGTTATTGTTTTATTCAAACAACATCTAAAATACTGTATTAGGAAATAAACATATACAAGCAAATAACTGTACTAGAATGTGCACAAGCTTTTATACAGATTCACAGTGATAAACAGATACAAAGACGTTCCCTTTGATCTATATAAGGTATTTATGAAGAATAAAAAGTGCAGCTTTTTAGTATTCCACAGACTCACTCAGAAGTGTTTCACTTTGAAGTTTTGTACACAAAAAACTTCTTTTAAAACAGAAGTCTTCAAACGCATAACAAGCACTAGACTTTGCTTGATCCAGATTAGGTCAGCATTGTTGGCAGAGGCTCCCTTTAATGTCCATTTCCACCTTCCGAGAGTATGCGTGATGGCTCAGTATACTTTGCAGTCAGTAAGTAGAAGAGGGCAGGAGCAGGTACCAATGCCAGCAAGGGGAGGTCCTGCTCAAGCTTATCCAGTTTGGAAATGGAAATGATTCCATAGGCATGAAGTAACCAGTGGCTGAAGAGGACAACGAGCCTTTTCTTCCTGACAAGAAGATCCTTGAAAGACTTGCAAAATAAACACAGTATCCTGTTAGCATTTATCCCGTTACCAAGTATCTGATGTTTAAGAGAAACTACAGGTAGTGTACAGAGATGCTGCATGAAGCCCCCTGGGTTTGAGCCTTTCCAGTATATAATATAGTTTCTCAGCACACCACAAGATAAAAATCTTGCAAGAACTTCCTCCGGCTAAGAGAAGAAGTCATAAAGGAAGAGACTTAAATACAGAATACGCTGCGGAGAAAATGCAAGAGACAAAGCCTCTACTCATTTAAGTATTTTTATATTATGAGTTTTAACAGGAAAAACATGTTCACCTACCTCCACTTCAGAAGCAGACATGTACACAGCCAGTGTAACCAAAGATAACACCAGTATGATATATGGGAAGGCATAATCTAGAGGCAAACATTGAGCATTTTAGAAGGAAAAAGTATGATCTCTGCTGAAATGTGCATCATTGTTCCACATATAACCAAAGATGTGAAGTAAACTAAGCTACTGTAGCCTACCTGTTAGCATCGTATCAAACATACAACAAAAAGGGTCAGCCAAGCATGACTACTCCATGCTCTAGTCAGCTGTAATTTAAAAAGTGCAAATGATGCTAATATTTCTAGTTAGAGTTACTGTACACTTAAATCACTGATTGAAAATAGGAAAACAAACAGTCTGGCTGAGTGGGGACCTGTCTCCTCCCATTTGACAAATATGCCAGAAGCTAAACCAAAGGCCAGCTAATTCCCCAAACTTGCACTTTGCTCTGTTTCTGAAGTTAGATGCACTCTACCTTAGAAGACAGTGAAATTAACTCCTTCTAAGAGAAGCATTCAGTTTCTGTTCATACCCCCTTCCACTTCCTTTTGGAAAAAGGGACAACTTCTAGCAGCACAAGCAGAGGGAAAGCACTGATGACCAGGAGCCTCCTTAGGAAAGCCTACTAATGAGCAGTCTTTTCAGGTAAGATACCTCGAAATCCACAATAACCTTAAAAATACCCTCACTTGCAAAGCAAAAGTCTCTCCACTCCCCCTCCTTAAGTCATCTATTAACGTGTGACTATGGATACTTTTGTTTAGTGTTACAAGCAGAGAACTCACAGAGCAGGCCTCCTCCAACCGCCTGAAGCACAGTGAGGATAGGGAAGAAATAGAGTGCTGCATAAATGCTTTTAAACCGATCAGACTTTCCTAAACCACAGGCAATTTTCTTAACCAGAAGAGGTCGAAGTAGCATCATTAACACAAGACAGAAGGCATAGTATATAAACACAATTGTGTACCTGCAAATAAAAGAGAGATTAGTTAAAATTTGCAGGTTTTTTATGTCCTGCAGATTTGCTCAGATCTAGGAAATTTGGGATTAGAGAGAGTCAATTCTAAAGAATTTACAGTTTAAGGATGTTACCGGAGAGGAATATACAGTCACAGAAAGACAACTGACTCTTCCTAGGTCAAACAGCCAAGGTGTAACAAAGATGGGAGCAAAAATGAGTCTTATGTTTAATAGCCAAATAGTCTAGACCTTCTTTGGCAGCAAGAAAGCAGCTGATCACAAAAGCTCCCTGGGACACTTTTCTGTGAAGTTTCCATCATCTGTAAGAACACCAGCAATTGCAATCATGTCAGCAGCTCGTGACAGAATGGACTTCCCCTGCATAGTCAGGGTGTAGCAACAGAAAAACACAGAAACAGAGACTGCTAGATAGCTGGTTTGTTCTGATTCAGAAAGTTGTTAGGTGCTCCACACACAAGACAGCTCAACGAATCGAAAGACTTCAAGGTGTTTGATACTCATTGGTCCAAGTTACGTATTTCCAAACACTTTCTGCAGCTTTGAAAATAACGTATATTGGTAGAAACAAACTTGTACAAAGGAACGTGACAGATACGAGTACAACAGCCCTTGTACTCACAGAGGATAGACTGCTTCATGAGTGCAGTGCACTGTGGTGATGTAATCAGGACTTGGATTGTAAAGCATCGTATACCAGTCCGAAAGCTTCTTTACCTTGCAGGAACGGATATACAGAGAGCCAATTGGTTCACTCACGAGCAGTGTAAAAATTGCTGCAGTACTGCACTCAAATAAGGCAGTGATGTGCTGGAACAGTGCACTGGAACTATGGAAGAAGAAAGAGAGATTTACTACTATTTTGCTACCGCTAAAGTAAATCTGAATGATGAGTGAAGATCCATACAGTGTAGAACCTTCTACAGAGTTAATAGTCACTGTGACTGAGGATAGGATGAACCTGCTTGAATAAAAAATGAGGTTTTCTAAGCTGAATGCAAAGACTAACACACAATACATCAGATGATTTAGCGGATAAAATGTGATTTTACATCATTCCAGCTTCTTAAATGAAAGCTTGCTGTACCATAGCTAGCAAAAAATAAGATCAAACTATCGCAAAAAGTACTGTCCTGGATATATTAATGATGCCACAGAACAATGGCTAGCAGTTAAGATTCTGCACGAGAAGTAACTTCTAATGCAACATCTCTCTCATATACAAATTATAAACAATCCAGATTCTGCTATGCTCAGGAGATGCTCGGTCAGGAAGAAGTCTCATTGCCACTTGTGGAAACATGAAATGAAGGTATCACAAAAGCATGGCACAATACTAGCTTTTAACTCCTATATGTGAAGGACTCCCTTTGAGAGAATCAAGGACTTTATCAATATTTAAAATGAATAGATTCCATAACTGATTCATAAAGGGGATATTTATCAAAATGCGAAACATCTTGCATCATCCTTGTAAAAAGAGTAAACAGAAAAAAAAGAGGCGTTTTTTCCCCTCCATATAAATAAGAAAATTCGATTATTTTTTGAAATGGCAGAGGAAGAGCTCTAGACCAATTGAAATATCTTACACAACTAAGCACGTGCCTTCGTGGGCCCATATGTGCCCTCTGGCACACTCAAAGCTGAGGTGCTACTGCCTCACTGCAACTAACAGCTTGAACTGCTGGTGAATTCCATTCAGCATCTCAGACCGATCACATACGGTTACGAGATTTCTTAAAAAAAAAAAACAACAACAACAAAGGAAGAGTATACTAACCTCTTTTTTCCCGAATACCATTCAATAAAGAACCAGTGTAAAACCAGGGGAAGCATGGCCATAAAGCCAAGGTATAGCCAGTCATAGCGGTCTGGAGATTCCATACATTCACGACAGATTTTGTTGTCATCAGTTCTTTGTCCTCTAGGACATACCTACAAAAAGCAAAAGACTGTATTTACAATGCATCCAAGTACCAATAGCCAATAATTCCAACTGCTGGAAAAACAGCTTGAAGTAAGACCGGGACATGACGTTTTTCAGACTTTTTAAAAATCAAACATCAACCTCAATAATTTCTCCAGCTTGTACTAGTCTTGCACTCTCTAGCCCTTACTTCTTAACATAAACAAACACAATTCATCCTAAAACGCTTCATCCTAGACTCGTTTTTCTCTCCAGCTGCCACTACATCTCCCTTTCATTACTAAACTTACTCATCAGGCCACTCACAACCCCTGTCCCAGAATTTTTCTTGTGGTTCACTCCAACCTCCACCCTCCTTGGATGCCACCCTTCCTTGCACTCCTTTAAAACCACTGCGCAATCTCCAGAGATCTCTTCCTAGTAAAAGCTCAGGACCAGCACACCACTCTCCTCAAGGAGTCCACGGCTTTTAACACAGTTCTCCATACCAACAAGTCTTCTTCCACCTTCCGCAACCTGCTCGCTTGGCTTGACTCCTGTTTCTCACCAAGCCTTCAGTACCCCCCAGGAGGGCCTTCCCCCAGCAGCTCGAAGGGAGCTGCACAGAGCTCCAGCCTCCCTTCATAGCCTTCATCTCGACCTCCTTCCTCGGGGATGCCAGAGGGATAAAGCCAACAGTGAGCTGCAACCCCATAATCCCAGTTACCCAGGACCTGCTTCAGCCTCCACATCTGCCCTGCCGTCCCGCACTTACCCCGCATTCCCCGTAGCTCTCCAGGGAGCCGTTCACCGACAGCACGGTCCGGCCGCAGTACAGCCCGAGGCA